TCTTCAAGCTGCCAAGGTTGAGAAATGCTGAGATAAGATATAGATAGTTAGGAAATGCTCAGATCTAGGAGAGATTTTTAACTGATTGTTAAGGGGTTGCATTCCCATTGAAGAGTGTGATGCCCAGCCTAGGGTTTCTCCTGGACACGCAGGAGACAGATGGTGATTAGCAGTCAGGAGTTGGGCTTCTTCCCAACTCAGTGCCTTTGAAATGTGCTGGATTACATGCTCCTTAGGGGTCTGAGGAACTGCGGTTCTATCATATCTAAAGGGCATAAGATTGAAAAAAGCTGATCTAGAGAAATGGGAGGGAGGAGGATATACCCCACTATAGAAACACATACAAATGCAAATATACACACCCACAAGGATTTCTGTTACATAGCCAGGGGATTTTTTAAATTTAAATTTTATTTTATTTTTTGCCTTCCCCTATTTCTTGGAAGACCACATGCTTTGCAAACTATCTTTATAGAGTTTTGCCTTATGGCATCTGGAGGGCCTTCCTGTTTTGATTATGCAGTTCAAAAATCCCCTTTGAGTCATGCTGTGATTCTTCCCTGGCTTTTTCTTCAGGCCATCTGATGGAAATAAATTGCATCCCCACAGTCCAAGCTTGAAAGATTGAGTATGTATACTTCTTGCTCCTCAGTCCCTAGGTAATTGAGGAAGATGTCCAAGTGCGTTATTCTTTAGTGCATAGCCATCTTTCTGTTTGTAGTAAGGGTTGGTAACATAGCAACTACAAGCACCTATACACCCATCAGACCCTTAGGAGCTGACCTTACTCCCCCTTAGTATATTAAAAAAACAAAACTGCTGAAACCTTGCAAGATCATGACGTTTCCCACAGATCTTAAAACTTTGACATATTTTTCATAGAAACTCATAATAATTCTACACATTTTTCATTACTTGTCGCATCGTTCCAGAAAGCTACCTAACCAACCTCAAAGCTCTCAGATATCTGGGTCTCATTAAGATCAATAAAATAACTTTTTTAATACGACTTTGCCAGATAATTCCTATGGGCAATTAAGGTATCCATAAACAATTGTATCAGAAAGAAATTAATGCACAGCACTTTCAGGAAACTAAAAAATAACACCAAAAGATATCCAAAAGGATGTGTAAACTATGCCGAGTACAAGTCAGAAAAGCAGAAACATATTTCATGAAGATGGAAAACTTTGGGGAAATGAGTGAGCAGAATTCATCATAATACTACACAGCACAGAATCACTGCATGTTCCTTGGATTCTTATCATGATTTTGAAGTTTCTCTCTTTTTTGTAAATGTATGTAATGGAATTTAATTTAATAGCTTACAGGTGCCCCTTCGTCTCCTAAGTGTCCTGGACTTCCTTCAACACCTTGAGGACCCTGAAATTATGATAAGAATAATTGAAATCAAATATTGTTTGAAGAATACATGATGATCATATCTTGTGCCAAGATTAATTGTGCCTCTTCAACTAAAGTATATGGACAAAATGGTATTTTGTCTCCTTTACCTCCATTCCATATCTTCCTTGGTCACCTGGTTGTCCTTCTTCACCAATGCATTTGCAGTACACACAGCAACAAGTCCGTTCAGCGATGTTACTCTTGCAAAAAGGAAATTGGTCACAGTAATAAGAACTACCAATCAAAATAAAATGTATACTTTTATCAAGCTATGATATCAAGAAAATACTGTAACACAAGTTCTCTTAGTGTCTCAAATAAGCACCACTATCAATATATCAATTTTTCTCAGTTCACCACTTCATCTCCAAGTCTTAAGAAAGACAGTCATTCAGTTGACTCAAGAAGGCACTTGAGCCACTTTTTCTAAGCATTTACTCAGTAGTTTGTTTGGTTTGGTTTGGTTTAATACGGAGGCTAAGTGATTTTTCTCAAAGAAAGGTATTCCAACGTGTTTATGCTTCTTCCAATAATTTCAAACATGATTTGCAATGATTTGGGCAGAAGCTACAAAATACACTTTCCAGCTGTACCAGCCTGTCTAGTGAGGACATGTAAACATTTTTTTAGGCTTTACAAGCAAATAATTTGAATTTAAAACAAAACACTCTTTTCAGCACACTTGGGGGACTTGTCCCCAGTTGCCCTCTATTTTGTCTATTTTTGTTCCATAGGAGAAATGTAGGTTAATTTAGTAGTTTTTTGGTTTGGGTTTGGGTCTTTCCTTCTTTGTTTCCTTTCTCATATACCAAATGCTACAATGGAACACAAAAGGAGAATTATGTGGTTGAACTTACAAGCAGGTAGTTCTCTATTAAGTGGAAGAGGAACTTATCTCTGAATGGATATCAGAAGAATATAACACTACAGTTACACCACACCAAAGTGCTTTATTCATGGTTTATGGCTTACGTTATCTATGCATCAGATCACTGAAGTTTCTGAAAGTAAACCATGGCTTTGCATGAACTCAGTCTATGGCATGCTTATCAAACTAAATTAAGACAAACTCTGGCTTAGTACAATTTGCAAACACAGCCAATATTAAGTGCTGTGTGACCTCTCTGCCTTCACTTCATACACTGCTTGTGATGGAAAACAATGCACAAGAGCTTTACAGGTTATCATTTATTAAGAGTGCAATTTTCTGGGATAGGGAGAAACCAAGATCAAAGATCTTCATTTTCCTATGTACTGCAGATTTGTAATGGTAGGGCAGGAAGATGGAAATATTTTCCTTTACCTGTAGGTTTTTGCAATCTTGTATTTATCCCCATTTGTAGAATTGACTTCTCTGTTCAGAAGGTGGGGAGGAGGGGGGCAGATCCATAGCTTTCTTGACAATCCCAGCATGCATTGGAATGTTCTGGGCAACTAGTCTAATGGCAGACCTTTCTTTCACCTCTCAAAGAATGGTAGCCAACTTTCTTGGGTCTCAAGCCACAATAGTTCACCCTTGTCCCATTAATTTAAATGAAATTGCAGTCCTAACACCCTCCCCCAAAGTAGGGCCAACTGGATTTGGAAGGATTTAGTTATACTGAATTTTGACTATACAGTAAATCTCAGTTAGTGTCTTCATTTTTCCTGAATCACTTACCATGTATTTGAACAATTGACTAGCAATGTTTCTCATGCCAATATTCAGCTGGGTCTTGTAGCCATAGCCTTTGCCAAATTCAATGTATTGCAGGTCATTAAAATTTGAAGCTCCTTCCAGAACCACAGTTATCAATGCATCCAATCCTGATTAAAATATTCATGATTATTTGTAAGTATTCAACTAGACTTTGTTACCAAAAAAAAAAAAAATGAAATGAAATGCCTGCAGCACATTCTAATATAGGATTTAGGTTTTAAATGCTCCCATAAACACATTTTAATTTTTAAAAATGAGATACTGCAGAAACGGTGTATTAGGAATACCCGTGGGGGGGAAACCATTTATATTCCCATGCAAAACAAAGCATTGAGTTTTCTCCATTTAAGCAGATCCTTTTATTACTTCCAAGTCTGTTTCTAAGGACGTAGGAACCCCAGGAATAACACAGGGTATGGTATGGAGGGTTGTAGTGGATAGAAGGTTACAGAGAGGATTAGAAGTTCAGTGAAAATGGGATTGGGCTTTAAGAAAATGGATTAAGGATTGGGCCTTAAGCAAACAAACATTTGCTTTGTGCTGTCTTTTGTCATAGTTTAATACAAAGCTAAATACACACAGCTGCAGAATCATTTATGCAAAATATTGCAAGACATGAATTATACTTAAGGAATATCAGAGTTGAACGCAAAACGAATGTGCCTAATTATACAATGCAGGAGATTAACATGGAATAAATACACTAGTAATTGTAATTACGGCAAATGCTTTTGCAGTTGCTTGCAGGCTTCTCCCAGCAAACCAGCACACAAGAGCTCAAGAACTTCTGATAAGTAAAGTGTGTGGTATAAAAATTAAGAAGCCATCGTGAAAGAATTCTGGTGCCTGTTGTATATCAAAGCAAGTTCTACTTATAGTGAAATTGGTGTTCAGATTCTTGCGCCTTTCTCCCACCGAAGCTATAAGATGGGTGAGCGGCCCGATTTCCATCTGCCTCTTCTTTTGGCAATAGACAGATCTGATATCAGGCTGTGTTCCTCTGACCATAGGAGAACTAGCTCACATCACCTTGGCTTTGAAGAAGTTTACAGCAGCAGGCATATGTTTCTACCTACTGACCCCGCATAGAACTGCATTAAAAATTCAACAGGCCTGATTAGCAGCAGTTTTTATTTGTCCCTTCTGCATTTCAGACTGCTACTTTTGTTTTATCATAGCTGATGATAAATCTTTCTGGAGAACTAAGCATTTAATATATGATCCTTATCTCAAACTTCTGAGAAATCAGATCCCATTTTGTCCCTAAACTTTCAAGATGTACTTGCCAATTACTGTGTCCACAACAATTTGTCAATTACTGTGTCCAATGTATCTTTCAAGATTATCTCAGATTGATAGCACCCTATTTCTCTTCTGGTTTTTGCATGGAAAGTCATTTTTTACTCAGAAATATGGGAATATGGAATATTTATATAGAGTTAACCAAATTCATGACATACCTTTTTTCTTCAATTCTTCTGATTTGCCTTCCAGGATTTCTATTCTGTCATCCAAGCCATCTGAGAATATTAGTAGTACCTAATAAGAAAGTAAAAATAATAATGTGTAGACCATTTAAAATTATATTGTATAGAAATGACTTTGGGTACAAGGGAATAAAAATAGAAAACTCACTTTCCTTCTGTTTGCAGATTTGATTTGGAATGTTTCCCAAAGTGAATCCAAGAACTCTCCAGTAAGGTGAGAGGCATTCTTGATAGTAGCACCCAAAAGACTGTTTATAAGTTTTTCACTATCAATTTGGAATTTTGACGTCACTGGCGGATCTGTGTTCTTAATTTTCAGTGCCACACTGGTTTGTGTCTGTGATCCCGCATTACAGCTTAGGCTAGTTAAAGATGTGAGAGTGCTCATAATTTGAGGAAGATAGAATTCCAGTTGGGGCTGTCCGTGGAATACATAATCACCTTGACTTTGTGAAGAGACATCTATTCCCACAACAATATCCATGAAGCATGCTATTGTTTGTCGTGCAGGAGGAGAAGATAGCATCAATTACTATACACTACTATCAGAGAAAAAAAATCAGAAAATGAAAAAGAGTAAAAGCAGGGGGCGGGAGGAAAATATGGTTCAAGATTTATGATCACTAGCTATGTCACAACATTAAAAGGAGGACCATGAGACAACCAACCCAAAGACCTAAAACTGACACTGTTTGAATAATTGAAACATCCATCACTCTAAACCAATTAGAAATTTATCTAGTTCACCTTTAGTGTGAAAATGGCTAATATGTACCTCCTGTACCTATATGATTCAAAATGCCCTTGTATTCATACTTTTCATTAATTTATGATGGAATGCATCAATCCAAATTCACCATGCAAAATTATAAATACTATGAGAATGCAAACAATAAGGGGCATATTGAGGAAAATGAATATAAACATGAATTAATGTATGCATTAAGAGATGTATACAAAAATGTTATCTTGGGTTACATACACATGAACATGTGTATTCATGTTCATGTGAATTTTTCTAAAAAAATATGCAAACTGATAGAGAAACAGAACACCACTAACAACATTTGGCAAAAACAAAGTGTAACAATGAACTTTATAGATTTGTCCATCTCTAAACTAAATCAGAGATTTAGCCTATTTTGTTAGGGTTTGTAATTGTTTATGAGGCATATCAGGTTAGATTGACACACTCTTTACAGGCTTTATTTCAACTAGATGGGGGAGAAAAAACACGCTCGTTCTTTGCTCCCCTACTTAAATTATTTACTGGTGACTCACTTTGAGCATTCACCAAAATCCATCTTTATAATATATGAGACAAGGATTAGATCTTGGTAACTTTATGGTTAGATGGAGCAAAAGACACGTAACCCATTTTTCTCCAAGGTCCAAGAGGGGAGACATTGAACTACTTGAATGCTTGAAGTGAGAATACTTACATGTTTTATCTTCTTCCTCACAAATATCATCAACTAGTCTTTTTTTAATTACCTTCAGTTCGCTGAAATTATCAACTGTGTATTTCCTGTCTGAGGAGCCAGCTATCTGACTAAGCTGCAAATGGTCAATTCTCCCTACTCCTATGGCGTATATGTCAACACCTTTCTTTCTCAGATCTTCTGCTGCTTGAACAACTCTGTCATGTGACCTGCCATCAGTGATCACCAGCAAAATTTGCTGGATCTTCTCATTTATTCTGCTGCCACCTTCTGGAGTAAAGTAGAGCTTCACTTTCTCGAGGGCAGCACCGATATATGTCTGAAGTCCTTCCATCTGTTGAATGTGTCTGATTTGAGTTTCAAGTTCTGATTTGCGTGGGAAAATATTCAGGCTGAATTCTTCTTGGTATCTGTCACTGTACTGAGCAATACCAACTTGCACATTGTGACCTGTGTCAAATGGATGAACTACATCTTGCAAAAAATTCTTCATCTTAGTGAAATCACTGTCACTTATGCTATTAGAACCATCAATCAGGAATACCAGATCTGCTGGAATTCCACATTCTGCAACAGAGGAGAAAGAAGAAGGAGATTAAATATAATAAAGAATGAAAGCAGCCTAAGACAAGCTGAGAGAAGATTAACCAACAATGACCCTGAAGAATAATCAGATATTATGGGAAACTACGTAAAAGTTCTGCTTGTATTTTAGTTCATTTTCTTATATTTATTTTATGATGAAGCTTTAATTAGGAAGGAAATTTCCAGTCCATAAACAGATCATGACCTACCTACTCAGAGATCTCAGAATATCCTAGGGAATTTCTTCTCAATCTTCTTACTTATGGTTGGATAATACTAGCTCATCAGTTTATTTTGACTGAGCCCTGGAGTCCAACATACACATATTTCAGCTGAACTATACTTCTATAAAATGGATTGGTAATCATGCATTAATGCAGATAGTAAATTATATTTTGCCATAGAGATAAAGGGAAGAAACTAACCCCGTGGTCTAGAAAAGTGTTTAGGTTTGCAATTCCCTATAAGATTATTTGGTATTGGGTCTTATTCAATTTAATTTCTTGGTGGTCACTTACAGAATTTCACTTCAAAATTATACTTATCCAATATACAAGTGATTAAAATTAAGCCCCAATAAACGTAGGGGGTAACCATCACACTGGAATTTGGTGTTTCTGGTTTTAGACTGATTTTGCATTCTATTTACCTGTCAGTAAATCACAATAGGCACTGCATTGTGGTTCTTTTTTTTTTTTTCAGAAATATTTCATTATTTTTTTCTTAAAGAAAATAACCACTTACCTGGCTTTGAAATGCCACAAATGTTATCAGATAACCTGGGATAGAGATTTTTCAGGCCTTCAAATGTATTTACATAAAAATATTTGTCTTCAGATCCTGCCATGGTCAAGAGTTCATCTGGCTTGGCTCTTTCTACCCCAATAGCATAGATCATAATCCCGTGAGCCCTGAGATTCTTTGATACTTCATCAAGTTCTGCTGTGTCGTGAGAATCCCCATCGGTTATCACTATGAGAACCTGGGGAACACTCTGGTGTTTACGGCTGCCGTGCTTCTTAGAGAAAAGGCTTTCTGAATGTCGCAATGCCTTGGCTGTATATGTCGTTTCCCCAATAGGCTTATCATTCTGAATAGCCTTAATGATTGCCGATTTGGTATTGAAGTGGTTGAGATAGAAAAATGTTTCTGGCTCTGCAGAATATTTGACTGCTCCAAACTGAACTTGATCATGGCTAACATCAGATTTTTTCACCAAGGTAATCATGAAATCTTTCATAATATCATATTCTTTGGGATCTATACTTCCAGAACCATCAATGACAAACACAATATCTAGACGTTCTATTCTTCGGCATTCTAAAATAATAATAGGATGAGCAGGTCACACAAAGGCAATTCAAAATATTTGCAATACAGTTGTTAGTTGCAAGCAAATCGTGTAAATTTTTGTCTCTTTTTGGAAAAACGTTAGCTTGAAATACACTGCCAAGAGAAGATCATGAAAAGATAAGGCCAATAATTCTATGCTGCCACAAAATGTCTGCTGGAATCCATTACATCCACTAGGATGTCAAACTAAATTTAATTGAGAAGCTAACAATAAAAAGATTTCTACTATTATAATACTATATTTATTGTGCCAGCAAATATATGCTAAACCAAGATATACAGATATAAATCTAGCATGCTACAAAATATGCTAATAAACATAGTTTCCAGAATCTGTATTATTCTAATATTCAAGATGTACATGAATCAGGCTATTTTAGGTAACACAATTTAAAGTAACAACTGTATATCTTTATATTTCAAAGTCTTGTGCTACTACAAAGAAGATTGAGACTTCTGTCTTGTTACATTATCTAGTTGTCTACTCAACTACAGTTTCCAAAATGCTTTTACTATCTGTATGAAGGAAAGTAATGACAGAAGGGAGGAAAACAATAGGAATTCGTGAAAATTCAATTTACCAGGGTTCAAGGGCATTCTTGATATCTGTTATGGAACCATTTCTGTAGAGATCTTCAAAATGTTAAGAAAACCTAAGACTAATGGTACTAGCATGTTTCCTTATTATGATTTTAACTCACAGGGCCATTTGCACATATCAGTATCATTAGAAAAAATAGTATTTTAGCAGTGGAATGATCTGTTCCTATATCCACTCTCTTCATTTTAATGTGAACCAAAAACTTTGCTAAGACTTGTGATACAAGGCTATTTCCATTCTAATCTTTTCCCATGAAGGGAACCATAACTGTCTTTGAAAACCTATTCCCATATCAATATTTAACAATTGGGTGACCTCAAATTGAGTCAATGTCTTAATGGGCAGACATATTTATTTTCACTGCAGGTGACTAACTACAAATTTTGAGCTAAGACACCAAGTTCCAAGTCTCTGTACATTAAGAAGGGCTTACAGCCTATGCTGGTGGACTACATATGGCTCCAGACCCATTTGTGTGGCCCCGGTGCCCACCTAGGTATGCTACTGAAGTTCAGCAACAAAACGTTGAAATCCTGTGGTGCAGTTTTATTTTACGGTGGCCCAAATGCTTGGAATGAGCAGTTCATGTTTCTTGGCTCCTTAGACAAATAGAATAGCTTCATTGTGAATTTGTTTCAGGATAAAGCTACAATTTCCTAATCATCTTGCTTTGCAACTCAAAGATAATTCATCAGACTAAACAAAAGTAAGTCAAATGTGGATTATAACAGATAGAATTCATAACTGTCACACATATCTTAGTTCATTAAGTTTGGAATATTTGAGTAATTATTACACACAAGCTTCACTTTTCACTTCATGGAAAGTGCTTGGAATGCAGCACCTGGACTTTTGACTAAAACCATGGGGAAGATGGCTAAGATGGTGGTGGATATCTTTATCCAAACAGCTTCACTGGCTTCATCAACAAAGAGAATCCATGAGATCTTACCTAGCTCTACAGTCAGAAACATTATAAAGCTCTAAAGGCCTCCAGAAGTTATTAGACTATAACTCCTATCATCAATGACCATGCTTGCGAAGGGCTCAGAATCACTGTAACTCAACAGTAGCTGGAGAGACCTCAGGTTTATCAGCACTGATCCAAGGATAGAAGAAGGAAAACACATAAAAAGGCTGAAAATTTATTCTGGAGAGTTTCCATTCAGTAAAACAATGTGTGGTATGAGCAATATAATTCCATCTCCATGCTGTATGACTTCCTCCCTTAACTCTATGGCCAGTAAAAATACTTCTTCCAAACAATGAACATGGTGTTTCTACCATGTGATGGGAATTTCTGAAATTTGTTTACATTTGCATGAAGTTTTTCTATGATGTACTTTTGAATTCTGTAGTAAGGCCCGCTGAACTCTGCAATATTAAGCTGCATTGCTTATGTTATTGTATTAAGTTCTATTGAGTGCAACAATCAGAACAGAATAAAAAGCTACAGAGACCCAGCGTATGTAAGTCTGTAAATATGGAAGCAGCTATGCTGGGCCTCCAATATGACCTCTTTCTGAAGATGATGGTTCGTTTAGCTGGTTGACTGAGCAGTGTAGTCACATTTACAGTATTTGGGGGTCCACGAACAACCAGCTAAATGAACCATCATCTTCAGAAATCAAATTATTGCAATAGACCTCCCTGGCTAAGCCAGTCCTGGTTATACAGCTAGTTAGGAGCCAGATCTAGGAGATGGGGTAGTGGCAGCTGATGCTCTGAGAAAGTGAAAGGTCTTCTTCTACTAGATGGCATACATACAATCACTGCATTTTTACCATGGGATATAAGGCCTCAACCTCTTTGCCTCTTGCCTGCATCTCATTTCGATGGGCAATATCTGGGATGGCTACCTAGATACTGAACCTGAAACTTGGCCATATTTTAGAATTTGATACATCAGTATTCCTTATATTCTCTTTTCTTTCATTTGTTCCTTGAACTGATCTACGTGTTCTGTTTAGAATTGCTTATTACTGCATGGAGTAAAATTGCTGAAGAGGATATTGGTATGTTTCACTGCCTCATCTCGCCACTTGACCATAAAAGGGAAAGCAAGATTTGGAGATGGGTGTTTATTTTCAGGAGCCTTCAAGTGAAATTAGAGAGATTTGTTCACTTAATAAGCAGCTTAAGAAAAAGAAATTGAATATAATAATCCAGAAGCTCGAGCAATGAGCCTCTCTAGTGACAAACTGCCTTCGGAAATTATCAGCCTTAGCAAAGACGTTGAATGAACCACAGAATACAACAAGCCAGACCAAACAAGACCAAGGGATTGATCAAGTACTTTGGAGTTCAGTGTGATTATGCTCAAATATCAGCACCGGTTGGACCATCTTGGCTCTGTACCACATTCATACCTCTTAGCTTGTCTTTCTAGCGGCAAATTATGTCATAATAAATGACACAGTATAATAAATAAATCTAAGGGGCCATTTATCAAGATTAGATCTGAGTGATTGATTGGGTCCAAGAGATTGAAATACATATTAAAAATCCCTACAGATTCCATGGCAACATACTTGGTGGACCACAGAGTCCAGGTTGAAACCATGTCCCCAAATATGCAGGGAGCTGTATTCCCTGCAAGCTGCCCAGTTATACTTACCATCGTAAGGGCTACATATTTCAAAGAGGATCTCACTTTTGAAGTGCTTTAGAACCTCAAAGTCTTCTACATAAAAGACCATCTCAGGCTTCCCACTGATCTCCATCAGCTGCGTTTTGTTAGCCTGGAACATCCCCACTGAATAGATGATGATATTTTCCTCTCTCAAAGCTTCTGCATGGTTTTTCACCTCATCCTGTGCTTCTCCATTAGTCATCAAAATAAGAACTTTCTTGACATACAGTCGTGCCCCTTTGGCAGGCTTGAAATAATTGGACACAAATTGCAGGGCACCTCCAGTGAGCGTGCTCTGTCCCATAAGAGTCATTCTCCCAATAGCATTTTTGATATCTCGTTTTGTCAAGTATTGGTTGAGTTGGAATTCTTCTTGGCATTTGTCACTGAACTGGACAGCTCCAATGTGCACTCTGTCTGGACCAACATCAGATTTGTCCACCAGCTCCCTCATGAAGTTCTTCATTTTCTCGAAGTCCTCAGTCCCGCTGCTTCTAGAGCTGTCTACCAGAAACACAATATCTGTTTTCTTTTCCTTGCAGACTGTTAGAAGAGGAATAAAATAAATATTGTAATATTGGTATATCTTTTTAATATTTACATTAGCCATTAAATAAAACATACTGGAAATGAATATACTGGGTCGAATTGTGGCTGTTAAAATGATGGCATTTTAGGCTGTACCTTTGATCATCATTTTTCAATTGTTAAATTGTCTAAAAGTTTCCATGGTTAACTTATTATCTGGCAGCTAAGAGTAAGAATATAATAAGCTCTTCATAAATCAATTTCACATTCTCTCCCTTAAATTTATGTAATATCCCCAATTCTGGGACATATTCTACATTTTGTTTAATTATAGGTCTTACTTCCCAGACAATTTTCTACCAGAATGATGCAACCTTTTCACAGTTCCATCACATATGAAGAAATGTACCCTTGACCTTATAACAACTGAAAAAAAAAATGATAAAATTCAAATTTTAAATGCACAATTGGTCAAATCTGGAATGCTTATATACAGGCAGTCCACAGTTAACAACCGTAATTGGGACCAGCAAATTATTAATTTTCTTTCACTAAGTGACACGGTCGTAAAGCAAAAAAGCATGTGACCACACTAAGTTATGACAGCAGTTTAGCAGTTCCAGTTGCAAATGGTAAGCCAATCACACGTGGCCATTAAGTCTGATGTCACGTGACTATGACTTGCAACTTCCTGCCAGCTTCCCCACTGACTTTGCTTATCAGAAGCTGGCAGTGAAGGTCACAAATGGTGATCACATGACCATGGGACACTGCAACTGTGTAATTGCATGCTGGTTGCAAACCACCTGAATCGTGATCATATGATTGAGGGGATGCCACAACAGCTGCAATTTCATGGACCAGTTGTAAGTCTCCTTGTTCAGCACTGTTGTGATTTCAAATAGTCCATGAATGAGTGATCACTAAGTGAGGAGTACCTGTACTATGTAGTTATAAGGTGTAACAAAGTTGTGATAATGAAATATTCTAAATGTTATAACCTTGTAATGTTATTGGAGTAATGTATTAATAAAGAAAAAAGAAAGGAAGCAGTAATAATAAAAATAAATAATAAAAATATAAATATAAAAACATATTAGAAATAACTATAGAGAAAAAAATGCTTATGAGACTAAGACACCCTTTCCTGACCAGTACATCATCTCTGAAACTTTTTAAACCCTGGGTCAGCAAATGGTGATGGTGGACACCATGGCAGGTATGTTCACCTCTATTGCATGTACAGGACTCCAAAATTAAATAAAATTCCATTTCACTTTCTTAAAATATTGAAATGGGTGAAACATATGAGATTACCAAATCTCAGGAGCCTATGATTTGATCATGAACTTCATGATATGGTTAAAATAAAGTCAAGATGGCAGTCAGAACAGTGCAATACTCTATCAAGTTTTTATGTGTGTTGCACACATGGCACATAAAAAATCAACTGGAGCTTTGATTGCACTGGTGTGATCATTATCTTGACATTTTTACCATACCCTATGGACACCCCTGGATGTGAAATTTTGGCCATTCCAGAAGTTAGTTACTTTATTGATTGATTGATTGCATGTATATGCTGTCCAACTCAGAATGACTCTGGGCAGCATACTATTAAAAACATGTCCAATAAGTATTTTAAAAAAAAAAAGACTAAAGGGCCAGTAAGCCCAGAGCTAGTAATATAACAAACACCTGAGCAAAAAAAATTCCACTAAGGCATAGTCCTAACTCAACACCTGGGAGGAGAAGCACGTCTTTAAGGCTCCTTGAAAGAACAGCAAGGTTGGGGCAGCTTGAACCTCAGGGGATTCTGAAGCTGCCAACTTCGGTCTCCTTTGGCAGCCATCTAGGGACATCCACAGGCAGGGCAGGTTAAGGGCAGAATGACAAAAGCAGCATCCCAGGTACACAATGAAAACCCTGCCCCATTTGTTTGGGTGTTGCAAGATCATATGCATGTACAAAAAGGGCAGAGCCCACTCTTTTCATCATTCCAATGACGGCAGCAAAGTCTGCAAATGCCCAGGTAGCCATCTCAGCAAGTTGTCTCTAGTTTCTTTAACCCCCAGTTTATGTCTCTAAGCCAGTGTTTCTCAACCTTGGCCATTTAAGATGTCTGGACTGGGGAATTCTGGGAGTTGAACTCCAGACATCTTAAAGTGACCAAGGTTGAGAAACACTGCTCCTAAGCCAACAACACCCTCACATTTGCATGTTTTTAAGGGGCTGCTCCCAATTTACATTAGGCCAGCTTCAGCATTCCAGTTTGCTATGACAAACAACTGCTTGATACTTTATACTCATTTTTTTTTATTTTATTCATTCATACATGGCATATCAAGCTGACATCAGGTCTAGGATCAAATGACATAAGGCAAAACAAAAAGCTGTTTCTTCAGCATAGGCATCTGGGACAAGCCCATGACATCATATGTATCATAACATGCGAGTGGTACATACTTTTCATGATGCCATGAAGCACATGATGACACTTCCCCTGTGCCCTCCTTTGCCTCTCTTACAGAAGCCCATGCCTCTCACTTTCAATGACCAGCTCGTAACAAAATATACTTGCTGGTCATTGGCCAAATTTCATTAATACAAAAAAATGTATAACCTTTTACCTTCCATAACACAGATCTCCCGAACAACTTCATTCTTTATGTACTTTAGAGAGGCAAAATCATTCACAAAATAAGCTTGGTTGGTTGAATCTGCAATTGTATAGATTTGAGATGCATTAGTGTGTCCTACACCAATGGCATAAAGATTGATCTTCTCATTCCTCAATCTCTTGGCAGGCTCCTCCACATGGTCTTTTGATATCTGGTCTACTAACACAATTAGATGCCGGGGCACACTTCTGGAATGCTGACCTTGCAACTTCCTGAACAGGGGATGAATGAATGTCAAAGCTGCTCCTGTGTGGGGAGTCCCACCAATCTGACGAATGTTATCAATGGCTTTCAATATATCATTTATTTTGCCATATTCTTCAAGATCAAATTCCAGCTCACTGGTTTCTGCATACTGCACAACTCCAACGCGGACCTTATTTGGGCCTACGGTAAACAACTTAACCACTTCTTTCAAAAATAATTTGAGATCCACAAAGTCAAAATAATCAAGGTTTGATGAACCATCAATGAGAAAATAAATATCAGCTTCTTCCATATCCACACATCCTATAAGGGGTAGAACGTTGAAACATGATGAGATATTTAGCCATTGGATGAAAGCATCTTTTTTGTTCATTTCTTTCTTTCCCTGAGCATTACACTGAGGAGGCAACCATCGATACATCCATCACAGTCTTGGAGCAAGCCACTGAAACCGTGTAAACCAGGAAGAAATATCTACTGGTTCTATCAGAATACATAGATACATTATAAAAAAAAAAATGACTGAGGGTTACAAATTAACCAGGGAAGGACAACCTTTTAGTGACCAAAGGGAGCACAAAATGTTTAATGTGATTGGCAAAAATGAAGATGCAAAGCAGCCGAGGCTGTATTACATGTATTGGTGGATCTGGAATATTTTCCCACTTTTGTGGATTGTTGGAGTAGGGCTCTTTTATTTTTTTTAACCCAGTTAAGCCTATTTTAGAGCTAATTTATGGTATTCATATATTTCTTCATCTGGAATGGTGGGAACTACATGCCATCAGTTTTTACAACTCAGTCTAACAAAAATCAGTGCTGCTCAGAAGTCTCGGAGAAAGGAGGAGGAGGAGGAGGAGAATGCATGGAATTACTTCTCATTAAGTAAGTACTTTCTCACTTTGGGAGGTCATTTGGTGAAACAGGAATCCATTTAAAAATACATTGTTTTCAAACAAAACACATAATAGCAATTCAGAACAAAATTGATTGCGATTTCATTCTAAATTTTATTCTAAAGCTATATATTTAAGTTAAAGTGTACAAATTAGAAAAAAGAAAGCATACAATAATAACATTAAGATTTCACTACTTTTCTACAATATCAAAGTGGTAATATGATATAATTATATTCTATTATAATAATATATTACATTATATCAATATGCAATGATAATTCAGCTTTTAAAGAGAAATAAAACCTAGAATCATATGGTCCAATCTTGGCTGATACAAGGGCTATTCAAAGGCTGAGAGTTGATAAATCCATTAAGCCAACCCTTATTCATGGCTCCTGGGCTGTTGCACAAAAGGTGGTTATACAGACTCCATCTCTTAAATAATAAATCCAGTACCCTCTCCAAATTGGGCCCACAGAAGTTGCCCTTTTGAATCTACTCTACTGTTTTAGAGTAATGAAAAAATTCTAGAAACCTCATGTGTTTAGACAGGTTTTTGTGATCTTTGGGTTGGTCTCATAAATATATTCTCTGACAGATTTTGGAACATTTCTTATGGCCAGCAACTACCTTTTTATTATTTATTTGGTTGGTCAGTTTCTAGAATGTTCTCGCACTAATTTTGACAAGAAAACAAATTTTTCACAAAATGTTTACATACTTGCCTCTTGATTTTGCTGTTAAGAGCCCACCCCTGCAAAAACTTTGTTGACGAGAAGTTACCTTTTTTCAGAAGTTCTGTTCTTTTGGTATCCATGTAGAGTTTTTCCTGTATTTGATTCATAATTTTCTTGTGAAAATTCAGAGATGTATTGAGCAAATGAGAAAATGTGCTTAGCTGAGTAACATATCGTGTTGGTGGGTAAGCAGCAACCTGGGTTAGTTGGGTAATATTAGCCTCTTCAATACCAATGGCAAACACAGTCACACCAGCTCTTCTGAGCAGTTTAGCTGCATCTCTCACACTGTCTTCTGAAGATCTGTGACTGATCAGAATGGCTATTTGTTCTACCCCTTGCGCTTTCCTACTTCCAGCACTGGCACTGAAGACTTTCTGTCTTGTAAAATTAATGGCAGAACCTATGTTGGCTTTTCCTGGCTTAGGCGATAGTCCCTGGATATATTGCAGGACACTAATTCTATCAGTTGCCATCTGCAGTGAAGATATCATCTGGGGCTTAGTGCTGAAAGTCACTAGGCCTATTCTTATGCATTTCTCCTTCACATCCAAAGAAGACAAAAGGTTTCCTAAAAATTGCTGCATCTTTTCAAAGTTTGTTTGTGGAGAACCTGCATCCACGATAAATACCAAATCAGCAACTCCATCACCATGACACGCTGTAATAGGAAAGAAACACAGCATTCACTTTTAACTCCTGATAGCTTTTTTGGGCATCTGTGTTAGTGAATCAACTATACTTCCACATTTATCCATCCCAGAGAACCTGCTTTCTGCTTCACTTTTGCTCTAGGCAAATCTTTTCCAAATGGTGCCTTTCAGCTATGCTGAATGCTACCCTCACCAGCCAACAAGGCCTTGGCCTTGCTGGAAAATAATGGTCGAAGTTGCCATTCAACACATCTGGAGCACACTGGGTTAACTGGGGGAGACTGCTCTAGATCAATAGTAGCCATTCTTTTGGCAGGTGGAAACTACTGTGGGTGGGCAGGAATGAGGTTTATATTAAGGGTGGGGGTCCAGAGTTTGGTAGTGTGGGAGGGGCAGCTCAAGTCCATTGGCATAAACACTTAGCATGCCTACTTTCTAACTGTTGTTGTTTTGCAAGAAAACTAGGAAATTCTGCTATTAGCATTTATTAATGAGGCCAGAAAAAGAACTATTGGTGACTCACATGTGCCCCCCAGCAGAAGAAACTGTTTGTATAGTAGATTGGAATGCAGACATGTATGTGTATGTGTGTTTATTAAATGTTTATTGAATAGAGGCCTCATAATACCTCCAGGAACACAAGCCAATATACATAGCACTGCCTCTCCTATTTTTCTACACAATAGCCACCCAGAGTTGCATTGGTGAGATGGGAGGCCATATAAATTGAAATAAACAAATAAATATTACTCATTTTTGCAAAGGGATATGTTAAGTTTCCAACCATATTTCAGATGAGTCAGTTTTATACTTTGTGGCTAACACCACTAACTTCTACCTAATAAATCTATTTGTCATGGAATCATGTATCTTACCTTCTAATACTGTTCTGTAGTTCATGTTCACAGCTGCCATATTTAAAAGATTTGTATCATTATTACCTATGTGAATAGCATCAACTACGATCCTAGAAATATTCTGAGCAAATACACTAAGGTCTTCTATTCTAGGAAAGAAGAAATAAAATGGCTTTGTAGCCATCAGACGTAGTTCGCCAGAAGAGGCATCTTCCACCCCAATTGAAATGACCTTTACTCCAGATTTCTGCAGTAGCTGACCAGCTTCTTTTATATCATCTTTAGATTGTTGAGATGTGATCACTATCAAAATCTTGGACCTGTCTTCTCCAGGAACTGGTTTCCAGGAATCGATCTCATGTATTTGGTAGAGAGCACTGCCAGTTTTTAAGAAGCCAGCTTTGAGTACCATTTTCTTTTTGATATGATTTAACATTGGATTCTTCCCTTTGTAGGTATCCAGTTGGAATTCACTATATACTTGATCACTATATTGAGCAAGTGCAATGCGATACTCGTTAGGCCCAAAAGGTAAACTCTTGATTGCTGTACTAATAAATGTTTTGACATGAGGGAAAGATATATTACTACTGGACACCAAAAATATAATATCAACAGGCTTGGGAACTGAAAAAGAAGAAAAGATGTAATCATGTAATGCTTAAGCATTCTGGCTACAAAACAAAATGTTCAAATATTTCAGTATGTTTAAAAAAGTATTACTAAGGTGACCACAGACAACTGAAAGCTAGAAGCCTAAAACTACTTATTAAAGCTTTGTAGGACAAATCATAAGATACAACTAGACAAGGTCCACAATCTGTCAAGGCCTTAAAGTGCAGCTGTTAGAGACCTCCAGAAGTTATCACCACTTAATAATTGTCAAGCTGACAAAGGGAAATATTGTTTTAAATATGAATGGAGATTCCAATTAAACTGCATTGAATTTTAAATAGAACATTGAATTTAATATTGGACTTCATGTTGGCCGGTGACCAAAGAGAACTAGGTTCATGTCACTCCTCGTATGTATAAGATCACTGTGTGATCTTGGGCCAGCCACTGTCTCTCAGCCTCACCTACCACACAAAACAGAGAAAAGTTTTGGTTATGGAGGAAATAGGAGGAAGTTAGTCTATGCAAGCCTCTTGAGTTTCTTTCCAGCCAGAAAAAGAGAAGGGCCACAGAAGGCATTTTGCTTAGGGTGCCCTTATAGCACCACATTTTAATTTGGGGACTAATCTTTCCCTCAAACAGTGTGCTGTATTTGTATGCAAAGGAATTTACAGGAACAGCAGAATCCTCTCTTTCTATTCCTCTACCCTCTTGGCACATATGCACCATCATAGGAAGAAACAATATTATTTCAGTTTTTTAATATAATCTGCTATTCAGTCCTGAAGACTCTTAGAACAGCTAAAGGCATACAAGAATGCAACAGAGTAATTTTAAAAAACCTGAATAAATAAAACAAACTAATAAAGTATCCTGGTTTTTAAAAATTGCAATAGCACTGAAAAGAGATTTTAAATGATCTCCAGATGGAAGACTGAAATAAGTAGGTAATCAGTTGGCCATTATAAAGGTGTAAGATTGGGCACCAGTCTAGCTCTCAGTCAAACCAAATAACCTTCTACCTCTCGTGTCACTTGCCAGCCTTTCCTCCTCCCTCAGTTAAGGAACCTGAATTCTGGTTTTCATGAACCCTTTGAATTCTAAGAACTCCAGCCCCCAAACTCCTGGAGGGTACCTGGTTGAAAAGAACTGCTGATAGCAATCCTTCAACATGTGCTAACTGTTCCTTATATTTTTCTCAGTGCAAATGTGTCTTTCTTTTGGTGTCATGTTCATGGAACTCCTGTTTCTCAGATGGGTACATCTTACCATTAGGGCGTAAAAAAAAAATTGTTGTACCTGGTTTCTGGGCCATGAAAGTCTGTGTCCCAGTAATTATGAATATTAATATCAATAACATCTTCATATTTTGAGCAATGTTCCAATCCTTAGCTGTGAAGGGAAAATTAAAAATGCCAGTTATATTTTTTTCACACTTGGCTGCAATTCATCCTGGGCTTTATGTCAAGAGAAAATGATATAAAGATGAACCAGGGTTTATCACAGATATCTCAATGCCTGAAACAAAGGCCAATATCTGTACCTCAAATTCAAATATTTGACACATATAAGCCAAACCACCATATGCCAGGGTATTATCCTCTAGTAGTATCCATAGGGATGTCAAAACAGGCAAGATACTTGGGAGAGGATACTCAGGACAAAAAGTTAAGGTGATTGCAACTGTTGTCTTTACAACATCTGCTGCATGAGATGGCTGACCTCATGATGGCTGACCTCATGCCGCATGAGATGGCTAGCCCTGGGTTATATGAACATTTCCCCTTTAAATCTGTTGTTAGAACCAATTATTTCATTTGCTATTATGGCAAGTGCTTGCCCACATACCTGTAGGTTCAAACTATGTTAAAACAAGTTTATTTTAAACGTGGTTAAACACGGTTTGTGAAAAAGTAGCTTGGTTCCTCCATAAAGATAGACATGCATGCACAGCCTAAGCCTTGCATGATGTACTTGAAAGCTATGCATGCAATCCTCAGAGACCTCCAAAAGTTGCCAGCAAATTCCAATTTTAATATGTTTGAAGAGAAAATAATTAATCAAATGGAGAATTCTGAAATTAACTGTAATTGGCTTGAATGAGGAACTTTATTTTCACCTTCGAGTTAAGTCACTTACTTTTTGAAGTAGCTAAGTAAAGGCCTTAGCCTAAAACCACTTGTGCAACCTTGTCATCAACAATAGTTTTCAGTTCATATCAACTGGGCTCACACATCATCAAAACTAAAGAAACTAAACAAACCACAATATGGCTGGGTACGTTGTGTGAACCAGGCCTCTGCATCTGAGGGGCAGTAATTTCTAGGCTCTTAAATTATTGTTATTATGCCTTGAAGTAGAGGTAGAAAAATTCCTCTACCTCAAGTACAACATTCGTATCTATAAGCTATGTCACCCTTCTGAGGGCTTTTTAAAAGTCAGCCTCCACATTTTAATGCTTTTTGTTGCATTTGAAACAGCACGGCATTCAATCTTTGGTTTCACTACTATCCTTTGCATTCTTATCTCATGACCACTTCATGACCAATCCCTAATGGAAACTGGAATCCTTGTTCCACTTACGGTAAATTAGGCATTGTGTCATAAATTTGGTTTTCAGAGAATGGTTCTAGTGAGTTTCAGAAATCAAGGTAGAATTAAATTGCTTTGAGTCCAGAGAGCACAGTTACAATCTGGATCGCTCAGATTCTCTGAAGAGAGAGAATGCTCAGAATGTTTGTTATGTGAACATCCAAAGACGTGGTAATGTCTCAACAAGTGCTATATTTGTATTCTGATATTCCATTTGATGAGGCCTCATTTTTTCCATTCTATATATATATAATTTCTTACCCAGGACAGCAGAATGTACACTGAAAGCCAAATGCCTTGGCAAGGCTTTAATTTGCTTTGCATATGGTCTTCATTTTCACAAGCCAAACTATGTCCTTGAACATCCAAAATGGACTTTAGAGGATACATTTATGTTAGTGAACTGAAGCAAAGTGTAAGCAAGGCAGACAAAGATTAATTGTTCTCCAGGCCTTAATTTTGGTTTTGCATTTCTTTCACCAATTCAAAAGGTATTCTCTGTCATTGTTTTTAAGGATACCAAGGAAGTCCACTATTGCTGTGGCAAATAAGGAGGCTAAAACATCTCTCCACAAGATAAATAAGTGTTTCAGTTAAGCATAATCAACACTGTATTGTCGAAGGCTTTCACGGCCAGAATACGATGGCTGGTGGGGGTCTTCCGGGCTGTGTGGCCGTGTTCTGGAAATTTTGTTTGAAGATGCTAACATTTCACCAGCATCTGTGACCGGCATCTTCAGAGGGCAGGAGCACAGGCAGGAGCAGAGGGCAGGAGATCTGCCCTCTGAAGATGCCGGTCACAGATGCTGGCGAAACGTTCGGAA